TGACTGATCCATGCAAACTGCTGTAGACCAAGGAACGTTTGAATGCATCACTTTTAATATCAATATTTTGAGCAAGCTCCTTTCGTAATGGGCATTTATAGTATGTAAAATGAATGAATTTTAGCCCTTTACAGTCCTTACCCAGGCTAAAACGTTGATCTGAATCCTTGATAGTGGGATTTCGTGGTTTGATGAAATGGTATATGGTTAACGGGATTCCCTATTTTTTCCGTCATCGATCTTATAACTGATAAGAAATACTTTCATCTTGATCACTTCCTTCATTTTCAGTGGACGGAGGTTATGGCCCGTGGCAAGAGTGGAGCGAGTGTTCTAAAACTTGCGGAAGGAAACCAGGCACAAAGAGACGTGTTAGATTGTGCAACGATCCCGAACCACAGAATGGCGGTAAAAATTGCTCAAGCTTAGGGGATGACAGCGAAACCGTACCATGCAAACCGAAATCAAAAAGATGTCCCGGTAAGTATGGACAAAAAAACACCAAGATTGTTTATTCTTGTACAAGCTTAATACTCATTTGCATTAGTCTGCAATCTTAATGTGGATAGCCGGTGAATACAAAACACACTTTACTCTTATGGAGTCTTTTTCATCCAGGATAATTATGGCTCTTGTGATAGCACTAGTGGAGTAACAATTTTAGAACTCAAGTCTTAAATTATTCTTAAATTTAGTGGATGGTGGGTATGGAAAGTGGGGCAAATGGAGCAAATGTACCAAGGCTTGTGGAGGTGGAACACAGAAAAGGTCCCGTATATGTAACAGACCTGTACCAGGAGGAGGCGGCAAAGACTGTGATGTACTGGGACCAAGTCAGGAAACCCAGGAATGTAACATACAGAGCTGTGGAAGTAAGTGAAATTATTTTTCAGTAAACGAGGGCGATTTAATGGAAAAACAAGTTTCATCGCTATATCTACCTTTGCGGTGAATTGTTCGTTTCTTTTCATTAAAAGTATTACTCTTCGACTCCTTTTTAACTTTCAATTCTCTCCCTTTACGTTCATTTTTGTTGCTTTAGAATTCCTCCTTTGCTTGTCTTTTGACATGTGCCCTGATGGGTCATAAACCCTTCCTTGTATTGATTGCCAGAATATGTGTCTGCTCTCTCAAGATAAGACTACCCAATAAGTCCGGCCCGGCTCAAAATGTCCCTTGAAAAGCAATGCACACAGCCAAAAGAGGGTTTAAGCTTCAACTAAAAGTGTTTTTCTTATCTAACCAATAGATATCTGGAAGCCAATCGGGTGTTATTAATTAGATGACATCACTTTTGTCTGGCCATAAAAAAATTCCTTTGTCTCTTGACGTGGGCTAGTAACCCTTCGTTATTCGAGTGACTCAGAGCAGGTGTCTACTCGCTCAAGATAAAACCAGTCAATACCTCCAACATGTCTGAAAATTTCCCCAGACAAGCATTGCGTGTAGAATAAAGTTAAACTTATATGTTTTCCTTATTGAACCATCAGGTCTCTGGAAGCCAGTCGGGTGCTATAAGATGATATCCAGGGCGCTTGATAGAGTCCTTGTAAGAGGTGGAAACATACCTTCCAATAGCAAGAGATTCCAAGCCTGCGTGGAAAGAGCGGATGAAAAAGGAATCACTTTGTTTGGTATGGACGAAAAGAGGTGCTGGACCAGTGATGACGCTGAGCAATCGTACGACAGATTTGAACCATCGGGGGATTGCAAGAAAAAGAATGGCAAAGCTAGTGGCTTCACGGAATCACTCACCGTATTTGTATATCAGAAAGATAACCAAGGTGGGATGTTTTATTCAACTCAAAAGATGTTTTATTCAACTCGATCAAAAGATGACAAGCAAAGCACAAATATCTTTTAGACCCAAATACTGTTAAGGCTGCTGCGTTTTTGTCAGATTCAGACCATGAACACTTTTTAGAATACGACCATGCCATACCATGACATGCCATGCCCATGCCATGCAATACAAACTTTATTTCAAGAGGGTTACGCTAATAAACCTGCAGTCCTCGACAAACTTACAAATGATATAAAAAAACAAAGCCAGAATCCGGTTTAAAAATATATGGATATGGAGGTATTTGAAATCTGCCGCATTTTTCGGGTCCATGAATCTATAAATTTATCACTTAAATGACATCAGAAGCAAATGTCTATTATACTATATAACCTACTATGTAAGTAAAATAATGCATTGATTTTTATTGAAACACTTCTTTATTTAGGTGAATGGTCAGAGGTTAGCTGCGTCTTAAATAGCGGACCTCGGGCGTTGCCCAAATCTTTCGGCGAAGATATCAGGAGCGTAACGGGCGACAATGCTATGTTTGAGTATTGCAAATCGGAGGCTGAAGCGCTTGGTTATAAAACATTTGGTGTTGATGACAAGGCGTGCTGGTCTGGTGACTCGGCTGACGAGACTTACGACGATAACGGTAAATCCAGAAAGTGTTCCGTGACCGAGAAGACTGGAAACGGCTCTGGAAGGGACATAAATGGCGACATCTTTGTCTATCAACTTGAGGAATGAAGTAAGAGCATTAAGAAGCAATATATCAAACACGAAAGACCGTGTTTGACCACGTTTCTAAACACTGAGAAGAGAGTTGAAAATACGACGCGCAGCGGAGTATTTTCGACGAACTGCGAGGTGTTTGGAAATGTGGTTAAACACTGTCTTGAGTGTTTGATGTATCTTCCCAATGGAAACTAAAACTAAGGAAAAACGGAGAATTAAAATCGTAAAAATCTATGCTAATTAAGATCAGATATCCAAACACCGTCACGGTCATGATTTTCTTTGTTTAAACTTAATGAATTATTAATGAGTTTAAGAAATTATTCTCGGCCTTTTGAAATATAAGCAAAAAGGCAGCTAGGGAAAAAACCCAAAACGAAATCAGAGTTTCAACGGGAACCCCGCTATGAACCCGTAAAAAGGGATAAAATAAAAAATATCTCACATGCACTACTTTCATAAAGTGAGCTATTTATTCTATATTTTCCCACTTGCTTCCCGAGCACTACTGCTAGATTACAAACGTAAAATGGTCCTGTGATGCAAAACGATGAGGATCCTTGTGCACAAAGTCTAGATCTTGTAAACGGACATTTCTGAAATAAAAGCGTGTTCACAGTTTTTTGCTCAAGGAGAATTGTTGTATATATTAATGTGAATGTGTTTTGCAGCTGATTAACCTCATGTAAACCCATAACGGCAAGTGGACGAGTGTAACTGATGTCTGGAGAATGGTGTGATGTCCATACAGGTGGAGGCGGTGTGCTTCATGACGTCATTGACAATAACAACGTACCAGAATCCTTCATCTTAATTTAGTAATAATTTGAGTGCTAATAAAGAAACACTAATGGTCAATTCCCTCTCTGAGATTTTCCTTTTTTAACAACATTTACGTTAGCTTTACAATACTCACATAATATGCAGATTTAGCCAAGACTAAAAGTGGAACTCCTGGGCCGGGTTGACAAGGCCTGAGTAAGTTGAGTCGGGATAAGCGAGAATTTTGATTTAAATTTTGTATCTTTTTGGTGAGGTTTTCTGTTTATATTGTTTGGACCTCTCAGTTCTGAGTTTGAAAAACATTTTTATACTTCGGTTAACTTTTAATTTTCGCTGCATGCATGAGTTCCTATAGTTACCTGAGCTCCGCTTTAATACTTACAATACAATGGAGTACAAAAGAAAAAAACGTTGTCACATTCATCACGATAAATTCCAAGACCGTGGCGTTGTATGTTAGAGAGTATAAAGAAAAGTAAATACAGCTCTAAGTTACAAACTTTTCGTCCGTTAAAGGTTTGCGTCTATCGTAGTGACGTTCAGGTGAATTAGTCCTCGTTGATACTTGTTCTTCGATTTCAGCTTTGTTTATCACTATTTCTAGGTAAGCATTAAAAG